ATGTGCTTACATGCCTGTAGTGCCCACACATGTCTGAACACACTAGTGTGTGTGTATAGACATGTAGTGTCCCAGTGAGTATGGGCATGCGTGGCTCTGTGTACAAAGCCATGGGTGACCCGTGGGTGTTTAAGGCAGAGTTTGGAGCCTGAACCCCCATCCAACACCACCCGTGTACCCCTTGCCCCAGCCCTCAGTGCTGGGCAGTCCTGGTGGGTGCCAGCCCCAGGGCTCTTCCCAGCCTGGCTGCAGTCTTAGGGGGTCCTGAGAGCCTCCATGGCTGCCGCAACACCCTCTCCCACCCAGGGAGGGTACTGAGAGCTTGGGATCAGGGGTTGCAAACAGGAGGTGTAAAAACTAATCACAGCTGTGAGAGTAAAGGCACTGTGGGTGGGAGAGAAACGCTGGAAGGAGCCCCCACCCCACACCAGCCTCTGGCTCCCTCCCTGCCTGCCAGCCTGGAATCGGATGTGAATGGGAATTTGGGGAGGGTGGACCTCCTTGCTGATTTGGGCCTCTGTTAATACACTAATTGGCTTATTAATTGAGGTAAATCCCCTGTGCTGGCACCTGTCTGTGCTGGGCTGCGGAGGGGAGGTGGGATCTGGCCGTGGATAGGTGGGATCTGGTCCCACCAGCACGGTCTTGGGGACTTTTGCAGCTGTGTGGGGGTGTGGGAGCAAGCTCAGGTGTGTGGGGCTGTGAGCATGCATAGGGGACAGTGTGTATGGGGGGGTGTGAGTGCACAGGATGCATGTGTATGTGCACAAGCGAGTGCGTAGGGGACTGTATGAGCATGCACAGCAGGCATGTACGTGTGCACAGAGTGTATCGGGGATGCGTACCTACAGGGGGGTGTGAGTGTGCACACGATGGGTGGGTGTGTACAGGGAGAGTGTGCCAAGGGGGTGGATGGATGTGCACAAGGAGTGTGGGTACACAGGAGGAGTGGATGGGGGGTGCGTAAGCGTGCATTGGGGGCTGCGGGAGCGGAGGGCTAGCACACACGGGGGCTGTGTGAGCCTGCAAGGGGGGACTGTTTGTCCAAGGAGAGCGTGTCTACAGCTGAGTGTGCACAAGGAGAGCAGGCACACCGTGTGTGCATGAGCCAGGAGCTGTGTGAGTGTGTGACTGAGGGTGTGCTGGGTGCATGGGCATGTACAGGGTGAGCGTGCTGGGTTCTGTGTATGAGGGCTGTGGAGACCTGTTCCACTGAAGACAGGACAGTCAAGGGGGATGCCCACGTTGGTGGGGCTGTGTTCCCCTCCTCTAGGCTCCAGC